ACTACTACCACTACTACCACTACCACGACTACCACTACTACCACTACTACCACTACTACCACTACTACCACTACTACTGTACTACTACTACTACTACTACAACAACAACAACTACTACTACAACTACTACAACTACTACTACTGCTACTACTACTACTACTACTACTACTACTGCTACTACTCCTATCTTCAGTCTTCAGGCTCCTTTATCAATCCAGAGCATGGGCTCGGAAGAGTGGGAGTTCGGACAGGGTTTATCTGTGATTTGTGGCTCCTTAAGGACGAAATGAACCCTAAAAGGGGCTTAAGGTTCCTATTACCATCCTGGGATTCACAGTATAAGGGTACAGGGCCCCTACTTTTCAGGAGCATTTCGTCCTTAAGGTTCAGGCATAACTCAAGACTTACATCGGCCTAGATCCCCCAAGAGTCCAACAACAAAAGCACTTTAGGCTTAGGGTTTTGGGTTTGGGCCTTTGTAACTCGGGATTCAGGCTAAGACTTCCGGCCCTGAACCTCAAACCCCTTCTCGCTGAGAAGGTATGGGCTTATCCTTCCCCAGAGGGTCCAATGTACCTATATAGTATAATGTACGGTTTCTATATTGAATAGTTATTACGATTTGGGAAAGTATCCCCTATAACAGTACCAGGACCCTATGGGTTCAAGTTGCAAACTTGCGGATGACAAGGCTTGGGGTTTAACGGAACCCAAAAGACCGACCTTCGCGGGCGTATACTATGGCATAGTTTTTCTTACGTTTAGGGGTTTAGGGTTTAGGGTGCCGGGGATACGATTCGTACTTATACCGACTCCTAGGATGTAGGCTTTGAAGCATGGTCGCAAGCATACAAGGCTTACTGCGACCATCGTAAACCGGACAAACACGAGCAAACCCTCCATGATGCGCGAGCTTCATGAACAGATCCAAACCGGCCGAACGGGTCCCAAATACCTATTTATGCGGGATACCTATAGTGGTCCTGAACATTGAAACCTGCTATTAATTCCTCCTGCAGAAACACGGCTTTCTGCAATATAGGTCCTTAGGACTCTTTGGGTTTGACAGTCTACGACAAGCCACCTGAACCTTGAACTAAACGGGTCCATGTTTGATGTATCCCTCAGGGTCCATCTACCCAAATAGTGTATACTTTGGCCTTAAAGTAGTCCCTTTATAGGTACTTTGGGGCCAAAGTATATACTATTAGGGTACATGGACTTTTAGGGTATATGGCATACGCTCTACTCTCGATTCGTCTTTGTCTTACGTGGCTTACCTGGGCCAACTTTTGAAACCGTACTTCTTGTTGACTGCATGTTCGCATTTAGAGAGAGATAGAATATGCTGGACTCCATAGTAGAAAGCTCCCCTACAAGCTAGAATGTTTCAAGCTTAGTTGCTGAGTTCATAAGCCCAGAAAAGTGTACACTTTCAGTTTTATAGTAGGTAATATTATCCCAAAAAGTGTAAAGTGTATCCACTCAGCTACTGAAACAACTAGATCACTTTTCCAAGGCAGGCACAGGAAGTCGTTCAGCTCGCCGCCGGTGGAGCAATTCCTCAGAGCCCCACTAGGGTCGTGCATTAGGGAGGCTTAGGGTTCATGGTCTTTAACTTGGGCTTACTAAGAATAAAGCATCATGAGTCATGTTAGAAAGATGGGAGAGAGAGAGAGAGACAGATACATATGCGCACATGTACATAAACATATACATATGCATATATACATAAGAATAA